TCTGAAGTATCTGCAAAGATTTGTGTTCATTCCACCTTTTTTTTTTTCATTTCCAGATTCTATCTGCAAATATTTCCTTCCAGACTTCAAATTGTTAAATGCATCAGGGCTAGCACTGATGCCCGCTGGCACTCAGTCTTGTAGACAAAACCCAAAGAAAGGTCTTGCCTACAATCAGGTAAACTCCATAGCATCTGCTCTTCACCTTTCTATTATCTGCACACTTATCACAGACAGAAGATGTACTTTCAGATTACCTATAAGAAAACTGCACTCCTCATTTTTCTCAAGCCAGTTTTTCAGAAAACTTTGTTTTAATTCTAGGTCTCCTGAAAATAAAAATATTTAATTACTCAAACTTATGCCTAAAAGGGTAAAAAAAAGGAAAAAAAAATCCAGAGCTTTTATATTTAATGAATAGAAATTGTCTTGAGAAAAAACTATGAAATAGGTAAGTAGGGCTGAGAGTGATAACAGATTTGTATCTCTACTATACCATCCTTTTTTCCAGTTTATTCAATTTCCTAACTACACACATGCAAGTATACTTAGCATTATACAGAAGTGAACTGGACATTTTCATTGTGATGCCTTCTCTCTTTCAAAGAGCAACAAGTGGATTGTGTGTCAGGACAGTTCTTCAATTGTCTGCAGTCAGATAATCCACTACAATGTTGGATCCCCATGCTCTGCAGTCCTCTCCTCACTCTCTCTTGTACAGCAAATTCACTTGAGAGTCTACCTAAGTAAACCTTGTTTCTGTACCTGCGTGAGACTGAACTACCATCCTTGGTACTGTTTTTGTCACACTCAGGTTTGTCTTTGGAGCTACAAGCTACTCTCTCAATCTGAATTTTTCCGCCTTTGCATAAAGAAAGAAGATTCTTAAGATTTCCTGTCATGCAACGTTTTGTTAATCAGTGTAAAGTTCTATAACTTTCTAAAGCTGTCTGCTAGCTACTAAGTTAATACAGAAGAGCTCTAAGTTTTATCATCCACTCAGAACAGGTCTCCACACAGTATCTTTTCCACTTGCAAAGAAGGTAATCCACGCTCCTTTTATTTTCTATGAGATTTGGATTTTCTTTAGTTGAAGAATACTGTGGAAGACAGCACTTACCTTTTTTTAATTAAGAGGAAAAAGGATTTAACTTAACAGAAATGTTAGAACAAAATCTCAAGCTTAACACATACAAGGAGAGCAAACCTGTCTGGGTAGTTAGTCTCATGTCTAGGACCTCTCAAAACCATAAAGGCTTCCTTGCCTCAAGGCAGCTCTTTCAGTTTGCACATTACACACTTATGACCTCAGCCTTTATAGCTTGATCATCTCTATTTTAAAATATTTCCCCTGCTAATTTTTCCAAGGAAAAAGCTAAAGGCCACATCAGAGTAACTTTAAACCTGTCACGAAATACCAAAGTCTACTAACTACAGCAAACATAACTAAACTGTTACACATAAATATATTAAAAGTTAATCCCACCCAGTGATCTATAGGGTGCTATTTCTGCCCACAAAACAGTCAAATCATAACTGTCCTAAGGGCATTAAACTGATCTTTATCCACCCTAGAGAATTTACGTGTTTGGCTTCTGAGCACTAGTGCTAATACCTCCAGATCTACTAACACGAGGTGAATTAAAAAAGAGAATGCTTAAATGATTGCAACTATGATCTTTTAGTTCAAGAATCAGAAGCACAAGAAGCAGAAGGATTACAGAACACAGACCCACACTAAAAATTTCAAATTATTAAACAAATTAACCATACAATCCTAGAGCAGTGCTTACAAATTACCATTCTCCTTGACTGAAAACTGGTCTCAGGAGAAGAGGAGGAAACTGAAAGACATTGAGAACTTAACAGATTCTAGTGGGGATAAACCACATCATGTCTCCCTGATGTAACCCTGGTTGGAACAAATTTGCCTGGAGTAGCATCAGGTTGCCTTTGCATTCTTCTAGCTCAGCGAAGAGGAGTTGGACTGCTCTTGCAAAGCCTCTTCAGAGTTAAAATACAACTGCCTCACGGCTGCCAGCCGAGGAAGGAAGGTCTCCATCTCCACTGGGAGCAGCCACCAGTGAGCTAAAGCTGTCTAGATCAGAGCTCTGGGCTACATTGCCCTCCTGGCCCACCCATTCCTGATCCTCCACAGAAGATGTTATGCTGACACCAGACTGACACAATAGCTATGGCCTGACTTCTTTAAGAGACATGCATGGCACACATTCCTAGAGGGCAAGTGATGCCATCTCTCTGGCATTACCAGCACTCTTGACAGCTGAGGTTAAACTTCACCTTAGTCCCCCAAGACCCTTTATCAGGCCTCAGGGTTCCCCTGCAGCCTGGCAGACATGCTGACACTCCTGCTTACAGGAATTCCTAGGTACCTGGGCATTGCACCAGGTCCTGCTGTGGTTGGTTGGGCTGTGCTGCTGTGGCTGCCTGTGAGCAGACACTTCTGTATGTCCATCAGAAGAGAGGCAGCAAGGCCAGACATTAAACCAACACTGATTTTCCTCTACTTTATCACTGGATAGGAACCACCTCTGGCAATCAGTCATTTCCTAAGAGAGTATTGTGCCCAAGATTTAACCAGCATAAACTAGAGATTACATCCTGAAAAGCACCCTAGTTTACAGCTGCCATTAAAATAAATCATCTTCCAGGACAGAAAACCAGGAAGATTTTTCCTTCTAAGAATCAGTTCTGCAACAGACTCTGGAGGAAAAACAAACACTGGGGAAAAGGGCCAGAAAGCAAAATTCAAACCAATAATTCAGCCAAATGTCTCTACAGAAATAAAGACTAAATCTCCATATAAACTGAAGTACGTATGTGAAGCTTCATGTAACTGTAAATACATAACGAGTAGCTTATATTCATGGTAATTAGATAGCCAAGTTCAAAGCCTTAGCAGTGCATAGGACATTGCAAAAAGGTTCATTTTTAGATACTCAATACTAAAAATTTATAGAGCACAAATCATACTCCAGCACAAAAGAGGGTCTGATGCTTTGACCCACATGATTTTCTCTCCATGCCTCTGGCTTTGCCAAACTACCTTTTCCCACTGGAAGGCCACACAGGATTTCCTTTCCTCTCCAGCTGCTGTGTTTCCACTTACCTGCCTGTGTGTGCAGCTTTTGCTTTACCTATTAAACTGTCCTTATCTTAACCCGGGAGTTTCCTCACTTTTACTCCTCTGATTCTCTCCCCTGTCCCAGAGAAGTGAGCGAGTGGTTGTGTGGGGTTTGGTCGCCAGCTGTGGCAAAACCACAACCAAGCATTAAAACAGTTTGCTGACTTAGAAAAGTCAGCTCTGATTTCCTTTTTTTGAGGGTAGTAATCACAGCTACATGGAGGGAAAATGCTCACACAAGGTACTCTTTCAAATTTTAGTTGCTTTTTGGCAGCTGTACTCTGACTTTCCAGCCCTCTGTGGTGTGAGAAAAAGGACTGTCTAGGAGACATTAAGACCTCAGACTGTCTAGGAGACATTAAGACCAGCACTCACACTGCAAATGTGGATGTGCACATACATTTTTTGTTTACCTACATCCATACTTCCTCTTCTCTCCTCATCCTCCTCACCCTCCTACAGGTACTCACACTCCCAGAGGAATGTACAAATAGGGTCATAATTTGTCTTCTGTCAACTCAGAAAAATTCAGAGAAGTTCAAGGAAAAAAAAAAAGGAATAGACAGGACACTGTGAAATCTACAGAGATGAATAAAGATTAACAATAGGAAGAGAAAACCTGAGTCTGAACCTCTATATGTAATAGAAATTTTATCTTAAGTCTAAAAAAAATTAGTCCAAGCCATCCACTTTGCTATTTTTACACTCAAATGAAGGACCCTAACAATCCTGCCACAGAAAAGTCTGTCCTCTGCAAACATGTAGCTGGGTCAAATAGTCCCAGCTGCTGCCCACATTTCTGTAAAAGGAACATCGCTGTGTCTTTGCTGCATGGCAGACTTATCTATGGTAGATACCATGCAAGGTCTGGAAGAGATAACAGGCACATTATCAGTAGCAACTATGAAACTCCTCCTTGTGAAAGCCTTTTTTTTTATTTCAACAAGCTCTCCAGACATCCCGCCTGAGGTGTGAAAGGCCTGGAAACTGCTCCAGCCACGTCTGCTGTTTCCATTTAAGCTATCCACAAAGAAGTGATTACAATGTTGCATTACGCTCTACATCTTACTAAGAAAAAACTCTATGCTCTCACATAGTGGTATTTATTCTGTATTCAAAAATACAATTTCAGTGCCTGAGTCAATATATTTTACTGCACTCACTGCTCCTACACATGCTCCTGGATCTAAGTACAGGACACACAAGCAAGATTATCTTTGCATGGTAACAGTAGAGCATTAAACATTTCTAATACTCATATGGCAAACTCCCAGGGCATTCTCCAGCACAGGAAGCATCACAGAATCCACCAAATGCTTTAAGTCTTTGGCTCACTTTCATAAACAAGCCTTTCTACTTTCCATCCCCACTGCATTCAGCAGAACAAGATTCATAACAGCACAAATCTCCCTTTGCGAGTAATTTTAATCTGATGAGCTACTGCCTGAGCAGAGGGCACTGGATCATGGTTACATGTCCTGCTTTCACTCTCTTGGGAGGATGCTAACCTCCAGCAGGTGACTGCGCTGGGCAGACAGGAGCAAGGACATGGGAAGCTGTCCCAATAAGATATATCACACCTCATGCAGGTTTTAATCCTTCTCTTTTTCACCTGTCCCTTCTTATGAAGTGAACAGGTATCTGTGAGGAAAGCACATGACCCACTCACTCTTCATGGAAATGAACTGCAGAAATACTAAATGTGTATGAAAGACAAGGTATCTGCAAGCTTTGCTTGTATTGTGAAATACACCCTGTGCTCATGCAGTCTCACTCTCCCAAAAAGAGGGCACAGGAATGATCATGGATACAATGGACACATACTGCTTTCTCCTCTGCTTTCTTCGTTGCTTACCTTCATTAACAGCATGAGGCTTAATAATGCAACAAGTACAGTTTGTGAATTTTGCACTGCTGACCGGTCCATGACCTCCACTGGAGGGAAAGAACAACTCCAGCTCCTGAAAACAATTGTAATTAAACACATTTTAGATTGATCTAGCTGCACACATCAGTTTTTATCATGAGCAACAACATCTGAAGCATCCATAATCACGGAAGATAAACCTTTAGTGCAGATTTTTTTTTTCTACAAATACTTCTTTCCTAAAATATTATCTCAAATGTATCTTTTCCTCTCTGGCACCATTGCTACAATCATAAAACCAGGACTGGATGCAATGCAATCTGCTCACACTCAAAGTGCTGATGCAACAATCATTTGGTAGAGGTGCTCCCAGTTTTACCAATGCTCTCTCTCTTTCCAAATCCACTCCCTTATACACATATTTCATTTTTCCTTTTTCTCAAATCATCTTTTCCACTAGAGAAGCAAAAATACAACTACTATCCATTCCCAAGTATGTTTTCTTTCCATATACAAAACTGACCTCCTTGTTGTTTACATTTTCTTCCTTTCATGTTAAACAATTAAACTTTGTCTAAAATTGCTGAGTCACTTCTCAAGCCTTACTGGCCCTACAATTTTTTAAGAGTCTTACTGAATTGAAACTGATGAACTCAATTGCTTTGATTTCTCATATAAATCAAAGGAACCTTTTTGCCTTCAATCTCTTTCTTCCCACCATCACTTAGGCATCAGATACCTTGGGTCTTAGGTCACCCCAGACTGGGGTGAACTTGGCAGTCAGGTTTCTTTCCTCACTGATATTTTTTCACTGTGCACTGCCAGCTTCACACTCTTTCCATACTATTTATTCACATATGTTACACAATCTGCCAATCAACAAATGTGAAAAACACAGGTTCCATTTCATACCTATTGGTCAAATTCAGTAAAAAAATTGAGACATTTCTATTTAAGAGGAAAAATTAAATCAAATAAATACTACTACCAAATGTATTTGATTTTTTCCTGTATAACAGTAGCAATGCTAAAGGCCATTTCCTGGCATTGTCTCCCTTAATTTACTAGCTCAACTTAAATGGAATAGACTCACATTTAGCTCATGGCACTTCAACAATTTCTGTAATACCTACTTGAAGAATTACACAATTCAAACTTGTCCTGGTTTGTATCTTGGACAATGGATCCTGGACAATGGATCTTTCAACAGAAGGAAAAAGGACCTTTGTTTTTCTGTGGGCAAATAATCCATATTTTAAGTGGGCACACCTGATACAATAGGGTTTATCCTTAGATGCTTCTACTAAAAAGCTGTATGATTCAAGGAACTTGTCCCACTCTGTTAATTGCTATTTACTCTAAAAGAAGCAGACAGAAAAAAGCAGTAAGATATGTGTAATAGTTAACACTTAGTTTTATCCATTAAAATTCATAAAAGGAAATTTACTCAATAATGCTGAAGGACTTGCATACTGAAAGGCCAAACTATAATCTTGTGGAGCCTTAAAAAAATCATTTTCCTTACCCTTTATTCCTGATCTAAAGAAATTACAAAACTTGGCCTGCAGAGAGACAGCAGCTTAGAGTGTATTAGAGTCGTATTTTCACTTGTCATTTAGCCATCAAAAGAACAATGCCGCTTTCCACTCTAAGTGTTCATCTTACAGTACATTCACTAAATGTGGTCAAGACTTGAGTTTTCTGTCAGGAGAGTTCATTTAGGTCCCTTTATCTTATATTTCCTTCTCAGCAAATATTCTGCAGGCACAGCCAACTAGTTTCCATAGCAACTGCTATACAGCCATATAATACTAATCCTACTAAATTAATAAAGGCACAGGGGCACTAAATTCCCAATTTTGTTTGATTTATTAAAGATAGGTATCTGTAACACCACAAAGATGCACACACCTACAGATGTTCAGCAAAATAATCCCAGTATCATAAAAATGCTACAGATGAACGGGGCCTTCAGACAGCATTTCAAAAATAATGAAATGCAACAAGAACAACAAACTAAAACCTAAGCACACACTTCTGCTTCTAACCAGGAATTTATGCTAATAAATACTCTTTCCTACACTCTCAGTTCAGAAGCTGACACAGTTGTCATGGTAGTGCACAGGAAAAAAGAGAAACTTTAACCCTTATATTTGAAGACATCTAACTATTTAACCAGAGGTCTCTTTCCAGCTGTGCTACTGCAGCTGTTCCAGTTTAAAGGGGGAAGACTAGAATCAAGGAAGCAACAACTAGTATCTTTCCCCAGCTAAAGTGGTTGACAGCTGAGAAACCAGAGTGACACATCCATCAACCATGAGATAAACTTTATTCTTGCCATCATTTATTAGCATATCTATCCCACAACAATGCACACAAAAGTCACCTTAATTCTACAGAAATGGTAATATCCATTACCCAGTCCCAGGGCTTTTTCTTAGAACTGAGAAAAGAAACATGGCAAACAAAGCAAAACAGAACCAAACTCCTCAAAGCCACGTCCACTCTACCTCTGTACCTCTCAAAGTACAAAGCACTACAAAGTGGCCTGTTTTCTAATTTTTCATTCTGAATAATAACAGCAAAGCAGGCTGCAAGCAGAGCACTAGTGAGAACTAAACACTGGTAGACTATAGGTAGATTGCACAGACTGTGCAATTAACTCACTGTCTGTGATGTACAGGATACATTAAAAATGACCAGGCATGCTCTCCTGATCAAAGCACCCAAGATTCACCTTTGTGATAAACAAGATTTCTGTTTTCAGACAGTTTATATTTCCATGCTAAAATGGAGCCATGAAGAATATGTAAACTAGTTCTGGAGTCAATTGGAGAAACAAAATGATAAATCCCTAATCCAGCTGTCAGCGGATAAAAAAGTAAAAATAAACCTCAGTCAAGAAAGAATCAAAAACTTACTTTAGCAGCTGAAGCAACTGAATCTGGGCCATGAGCTGCATCTCTGAGGCCACAATGTCCAAAGCTCTCTGAGATGCTGTCCAGCGTATCACTCTCAGTTGTTGTAGGGTTTGCCGGCCCCACTATTGCTCTCCACTTACTCACTGCACCATCTCCTAAGAGCTCCATAGCAAGGATGGGGCCTCTCATTATTAACTGGAGAAGCTCACTGCAAAATGGAAACAGCACATGGTGATCCATGCTACAAATTAAAACAAACAAAAGCATGACCCAGTGGAGATGCTCAGAACTCAAACTGGCAAGACGTCAAGCAATCTGATCTAACTTTGAAGTTAACTCTGCTTTGAGGAAGAGATTAGATTAGGTCATGCGCAGACATTCCCGTATTATGGCTGTTGGAAAAAAACATGTAAATAACCCAAACTCACTCAAGTTACTCTGTAGACTCTTAGATTTCAAAATATTTTAAAAGATCAGTAGCGGTGTCCTGGTAACAGTGAAAGAGAGACCACTTGTAACGACTTGTCTGACAGGAATGATTGGTAAGCTTTCCTCTTCTGCACAGTAGCATTTCAAGACTCTCATACATGACCTGTATGTGTACCCCACTGACAGAACACCAGCACTGCTTTCAAGATGAATTTTCCACTGCCCCACAGATCTCTCCCATGGATTTTGCCCAGCTAAAGTCCAAAGTGGGAGAGAAGGGAAGGAGTTGAAAAGTTTGCATGAGATAAAGAACTTACAAAGTGAGTTATACATCTTGGCATAACAAGTGATTTTAATGGGATGAATCCAAGTAAGGAGAAGAGGTTGTCAGGAGCAGCCTGCCTTCTGTCCTGACCACCTGACAATAGACAACAACCACTCAAAATTGGTAACCCAAACATTCCATTCAAAAACCAAACAAAAGACCAAGAAGTATAATTCTGTATCTTCACAAAACATGCATATCAATAAGCCTGTCTTTTCACTGTTCAGTCTGGACAGAACCAACAGGAGACCATTGACTCTGGTTTTTGTAGTGCTTTGGTTAGAATAAGTGCTTTACACAATTATAATTGTGGATGTGCATGCTTCTCCAACTACCTTCTTCCTAATGATCACTGGTCAAGAAGAGAAGAGAAATCCTACTAGTTTTTTGAAAAAGAAACAATATTAAAACTATGAAAAGTTACATAAAGAAACAACACAAAAAAAAGTGATTGGATGTCAGGTTCTGTTAGTCAGAGTCTGCCTGTTTAGGATAATTAAATAGTACACAGACATACATCCAAGAAAAAAGCATTTTCTACAACATTATTTACTGTGCAGACTAATCCTTGAATATTCTTTTTTTAAAATTTCTTTTATATGAAAACCATTATTTTCCAAACTATAGAACTGTTATTTTTCTTATTCACTAGATTACATTCACTAGTGAACTTGCAAACTAAATTTGAAGACAAGATACAACAGGAAATACAAACGAGTCATAGATCTCACATTTTACTGTCTTGAAGTTTCTTGTTTCTATTTGATTTGGAATGCTCTAGAGCTATTTATTTCTAATTTAGAGAAAAATCCTATAGAGAAGATGTAGCCAACAGGACTGTAGGATAGGAGACAGGCACATCACAGTGGACAAAGGCTACAGCTCCTCAGACAATTACCATTAGTATAGATAGACAGCTGTGAAATAACACTTCAGGCAAAATTCTTGATTATTTATCAACGTATTCAAGCAGGCTTACTTAGCAAAGAAAAAGCAATTCCAAATCATGCATTCTCTGACCTCCAAGATGGTCAGACATAGCCTGGGGCTGTGTCTCTCTGAAGGGCTTTGAGTTTGGACCCACAACAAATCAGCTGCTGTTGCTGGAGAGCAGCTGGCAATGCTAATTCTCAAGCATTTCGTGACAATACTGAAACCAGGTCTTTCAACCACATCAGTGCAAATCCAGGCTCCAACATGCCTGCAAAACACAAGGCACCTTCTCCCCAAAAGAGGCAGAATGCACAATGGAGAGGGAGGAAAAGAAAGTTGCTGGCACTTTCAGGGAAAGTAGAAACAACTCACTCTCTGGGTCATAAACATCCATCTGGTCAGTAATGGAAAGACTAAGGTTTCTCACATCAGGTGTAGCAGCCTAGCATCATGCAAGTTTGACATTTGTGCAAGGGTAGCAGTACAGTAAAAACTGCCCCATGAACTATCCTTTCAGTTATTTATTATTTGGGATACTTGTTACCAAATCAATTCTTACAACTAAGTGTTCCCCCTACTTCTCATTATCTGCAAGCTCCACCCTCACCCTGATCCTGAAGATATCCCTTCTGGCTTTGAAGTTTTGCCCTGCTAGAAGCATTTTCACTACTGAGGGACAAAAGACATTTCCCTGATACCACTGGGTTGTAAAAAGTGTGAGTTAAAACCCTGAATAGCTGAAATAAGGATCTCTCCCCGAGGAAGAACAAAAGGTGCATGCTTTGCAAAGAGCTCCACTCAACTAAGACAAGCTCTAATTTTCCCATTGTTCTGTGGCATCAAATATGGTAAATGAACTTCATGCATTCAATAAATAAGCTTAATATACATCAAGCTGAAATTGATATACCTACTGATAAAAAGGTTTTGCTCGATAGTCAGCGTAGAAATCAGCTGCTTCTTTTCTGGAAAAGTAAAAAGACACAGTTATAGCTCTATATATATATTTGTATATAGATAGATAAACCCCTCCCTGAAAACAACAATTATCATTCATTCAAATATCATTCATAAACATGTTTCCACAGGCAATGTCTTCCTAAGCTGGACAACTTGTTGGGTGCTCATGTCCAATAACAGAAACTACATTTACATTTCATATTTTGTGTGGCTACCAGTACAGCTGACAACTTCTCATGCTCCTGCTCTGGGAAGGAATTACTAAAGCAAATTTCAGGGTCATTGATGGTCCCCACATTCTCAGGCTGAGAAACAAATGCAGCAGTCATCTTCTTGCAAGCCATTTGCTGTTATGTTGTTTCCATCATTCATCAGGTTGAGCAGGGATACTGGTAAATGAAGTTTGGTTTTAAAGCATAAACAATTTATCTGCTCCACGGGAACACTTATTTATAAAGGCTAGTGTTTGATTAAACTGGTGCATAACAAAATATTGCATAACTTGGTTTCCACTCAGTGTCATCAAATCTCACAAGTTACATAGGCAGCACAATGCCCTCCATATTAAAACTGGATTTTCCCCTCACTTTCACACTTCAAAACTCAATTTGGTCTTGCAATCTCCTCAGGGAACATAGCAGTGACTACACACTGCTTTCTTCCAAAGTAATGGGGTTTCTGCAGTGAGGGGTCTCCTTACACTGCCAGGCAAATTAAGGCTACTAAGCATTCCCAGTGTGTCTGCAGCACAGCTGTTACTCAGCCTTTCCTCAGGAGCTGGAAGCAAAAAGATGTCCTTTTCAGACAGGGTGGTGGCTCTTCCCAAGCTCTGCATTGCCACAGCCACACTCCTACCAGCACTGGGCTCAGCTACCCCACTACACAGGTTTTGGGGACCACCACAGTGCAGAGCTACCATCCATCCACTGATGGACACACTATTTTCTGGCTTTTCACCCCACCAGCCCCTGTCACCAGCCAACCTACTCTCTTCCCCTTCTTTTTCCCCAGCTACTTCTCATGTTTTACTCTTGCTTACTGAACTGTTTTTTCTGCATGGCAACAGCTAGAAAAATCCATAGAGTTTTTCAGCTCTAAACCTATTTTGCAGCTTCAGAAATCCTGCTGAGAACACAGGCTCAGTATTGGGTAGCTCCAAATCCTGGCGTGTGCCACTTTTTGAAGATGGAATTTGTAGAGAAGACAAGTTCTTCAAGCGGACTGACAGGTGAAAGAAAGTAATATTGCTGACCTCTACCCTGGGTACAGAGTTCATAATTAAGCAGTGCTGTAGGGCGCGATTCCAAATTGGAAAGTTGTTTTTACCCGCAGCACAGCCTTCTGATTTTTTTCTGGTCTTCATGAGTTTGCTCATTTTCAGCAGTTCTCTTTACTGACAGAAATTGCCTGCATATTTTACAAATAACAGATTCCAAGTATGAACAAAGGCATAGTTCTGTCATCTGAAATGGACCTTTTGATGCCTCTCTCATTTGCAGTCCAGACTTAAACCAAATATTGCAAGAGAAAAGAAATAACATCAAGAAGAACACAAGAAGAATTTAATTTTCTTAACATTTATCAATGTTTGAACAGTCTCATTTTTCTCCAGCTTTTTTATCAAAATGACCTGAGTAATTCCTGGTTTGTTGCTTTTAGTTCAGTATAAGTATGAGCCATTCAAAATCCAAAATATTTTTATCAACCAGACAGTAGATTTACTTCATTTTCAAGATAAAGCAGAAGCATGATGTAAAAAGTATGCTAGACATAGGAACTCCTGCAATCCCATGCTTCAAGCCTACACTCTGCAAAAGGTTTACCTACAATTAATTATTTCACCAGAACATCCTCTTCTGAAATTCATTCACCCAAGAATTTCGGAAAGCAAATATGAAAAAGGTAGGTGAAGGGATTAAGTATTACCATTTCTGATTGCAAGGAAGTACTTGAGAGGTCTGTTTCTGAAACAAATTGAGCTCTACTACTCAGTTAACAATTCCCAGTGAAATAAATATCAAAGTGCAGTTGGTGTGGTACAACTTAGCTCCTTTTTAATTTCATTATTAGTTCTCTGTTTTCAAATAATGGAAAACAGTGTTCACCTATGTATAACAGACTGAACTGACACAGGATTAAAGGAAGAGACCGAAGAAGCAAGTGCCTGCCCACACTTCCATATCTTGGCTACAACTACATGACTCTACTTAGCAGTGATTGACAGACAAATGTTGCTAATAATCCCTTTAAAGAAAGCAGTAGATGATGATGATGACGACGATTTCAACAAGCAAGCCTGCAGAAATCTAAGGGCGGAAGACTTTGGCAAGCCATAGTTCTATCATTTTAAAATGGCACAGTCCAAAGAAACAGAGTAGATAGTATGCAGAGAAACCATAAAATACTCAAGACACTATTTAAATGCATTCAGTATCACAGCCCATTCTTCTGCTTATTAATAATTACTTTCAATTAACAAGACAACCAGGAATTTTTATATTGCAGTAGGCAGTAAAAGTTCAAGTGTCCATTTCTTCCCTTCAGAGTCAACTCTAAAACATGTGACTTGGCTCAACAGTTTGACTTCTCAGACAGACACTCAAATAAAGCATCACAAAAACCAAGATTTCAGGATCAATCTCTCATACTGCAGGAGAAAGGAAGCAAAAAAAAGCTAGTTTGAAAGACATTATGAATTGCAAAGAAACATCAGAAACTGTATGAACTCATGAATTTGAGCTGTTGGATGGAGGACCTGGGACCAGTACCTTCAGATACTGCAGCAGGTACATGCAGAGACAAGAGGAGGAAGTCTTATAATCACTTTATCAGTATTTCAGAAAGTCAAAAAGGTTCTGAAGTGAAGGAAAATTGTTGCTGACCTCACACATAAACAATAAGAATACATTAAAATGGTATTATGTAAGACAGCTTTTCTTTCCAAAAACATGTCACATACAAATAGGTTTGGCAAAGCTACAATGGTGATATAATGCAGTAAGTTTGGGAAAGTCTTCTAAGGTAAATTAATTATATTCTCTTTCCTCTGAAACATGCCTTCTTTTAAATCTTGGGGCTCATTAAGAAGTGGAGAAAACTGAAGGTAGGGGGATTAGGAAGATACATGAGTAAAACCTGTCCAGCCCTGCACCATCAGAAGATCACTTGGTTTGCCTAGGACTTCCAGCAAAAATCTGAGAGCAAAAATTAAGACAACAAATTAACTGAGAGCAAGCAAACCAAATACTTTAAAGACAACCTCATTATAATGAGCAATACCGTCTGTATGAGGAAGCCTTGAGCTGAGGATATACAGACATGTCAGTAGTAAACACTGCTGGATTGCTAAAGGTATGGTAGCCACCTTGGGTTCATACAGACATTAAATATTTCATCACCCATACTCATATTTGCACAGCACTTTTTAATACTTAGCTTAAATCTCTAAATACTTTCAGATACATACAGAACTATGAAACTGATGAGTTGCATGAGTTACCTTTCTTACTGGAATGGATCTGACGTATGGAGCAACAAAGAATGGCTTTAGAGAATATTCTTAATTGCAAAAATATTCAGATAAAATAGAGCTAACCTTAAGAATTGCTTACCTTGAAAGCAGCATCATTTTGGCTTTAGTTATTGTCAATCCAGCATTAATAATGATATCAAATAATTCTCCCATCTTACACATTCCATCAGGCTTAATCAAAGCCAGCGTTCTGGGGAGGAAAAAAAATTATAGTAGAGAGATACAGCCAACACAATTTTCCTTGGAGCATTTGGTGTGCATGTTTGGTTCATATTCAGACAAAAAAACAGTACATCAAAGAGAGAAATTTTGTTAATGTCACATATTAACTGTCCCTGTGTCTCATCAATTTCCATGCTGTTCTTGAATGCCTGTGCAACGCAGTATTCTGATAAGAACAAGCTTTGCACGTTTTAATTTCCTTGGCTTTCTAACCCAAGTCAGCTCACAATGTTCCACCAGCAGTCATTATTCATCAACTTCTCCCTTTGCTCTCAGAGCACACAATTTGACCACTCCTTTCTTAGATAAATGGTATCTCAACAGCTCCTCAGATTGGGTCAGAACACAACCGAATCATTAATCTCCCTCTGCTTGCCCAGCTCCCTTTTTCCCTAATGTCAATCATACACATAAAATTGAAGCTGTTAAAATTCCTGTTTAAAAAAATTACTTAAACATGTGCCTCTTCCATAAAACTCAAAGTTTGAGTTTAATTGTTTTATTAATAATTTTAAAATAACTGAAGTCCTCTGTGAGAAAAAGATCCCTTGTGCTTGGTACAGTATAAAAACTTAATGGTTTAGAATTTGCATGCCAAATATCTGACACTGTTAATAGACACAATAAAAGGATGGAAGAGGAGGTATTTAATCTCTTATACTGATTGACAGCTATATTCTATATTCTAAGGGATGACAATCCAAAAATCTCTACATTCTCCCCCACATCTTTGTTTCCAAGGACATCCTGTCTTCTAGGTAATTATCTTTTTACACTGTACATCCCCAGAGCCAGGACTGTTTTATTAGTGAGCTTTGCACAGCACCAAGAACATCAGCACTAAACGTATGACTAATCAAAAATAACAAGCACAAAAAGAAGGTCCGTAAAATTGCATTTTCTATTTGCATTCATCTTGTGGTGAGTCAGCTTCAAATGTGTTCGGCATACAAACCAACAGATTTATTCAACCCTGCATCTCAGAAATGCCACGTCTCTGACAATCCTAAAGAACAGTTTCCATCTTTCACACTGTTTCCAATAAAGAAGGCTCTCCAAAATGGAATTTTTTTATTGCAGGACTTCCTTGAATGAAAGAGAAATAATTGCAGATTTCCTACTATATATACCAGCATAGCATGGAAAGCAGCCCTTAGGTTAGCAGTAATATATTCCAGCCAGGGCAAATATGCTGAGATTATAGGAGATGGATGAACTTCCACTACATTTGCTCTGAACCTTAAGTGACCCCAGATTGACAGATGCTTTGGCAAGAGACAGACTATTTCACAGCAATTGTAGCGCAAGGGAGGTGTTAGGACCAGGAAATGTAACCAGGAAGATTTGAACATACGTGACATTTTAACTGCAGCTAAGGGAGAGGCATTTCGGACTTTCAGAGCTCCAAAACAAACAGAATTCCTCAAGCACCATGAAGCTCCCATGCACAGAGCACCTCAGGTTCAGACCCATGGGGAAGTATACAAAAGGACTGATGGACTAAGGCTGCAGCCAGAAACTGCATGGAAGCAGTCAACTAAGACTCTGCTTCAGTCCACTGCAGTGAAGGCTAAAGTTGCTTTAGCCCCATCTTCAGATCAGGAAAGGCTGACCTCTCATCAACACTGAACACAGTTTGCCAGCATACTTCATGCAGCTTTAGAGCCTGGTCCCCCTCTTCCCCAAGGGTCTCACAGCTCCACCTCATTTTGTGATATTATTTATCCTATCACAGGGTACACCATGTGAATCGAGGCCCATGAGGGGCTTCGATTCATGTTTGACCAATGAGAATCACACTATGCATGACCTGCATGCTGGCACAAGAGGTTCTCAACACTGTCATTTCCCACAAACAATAAGGATCAAACCTCTGGAATGGGATCCCCAGCACCCTTTGTATTTCCTCACGGAACACTTTGTTGAATTTATGTTATTACACAGGCTGTTTGAGACAGACTGGTAATGCTAGAAACAAATTGCCCCTTACTTTTGTAATTTCAAGGGTTTTAGTAATAGTGTAATTCCTACAAATTTGCAAAGAAATACTGCATAATGAAGCAATTTACTTAGAAGACATGAATACAAACTGCAATGAGCAACCCTTGTAAAGTCTTTTGTCTAACACTGATATTTAAACTTTAACATTTCAGTGTGAGCTTTTCAGAAGTAAGCAGGATACAAAAAGCAGACTTCAGGATGCTGAAGACTGTTTCTGAGATTGGATGTTGATTAATGTGCCCTATTTTTAATTTTAATTAGGAATATGTTTCATGGGGTTTGTCATGATGCAGTATGCAGTGTAGATCTGAAAACAGCTCCATGTCTAGGATCCAAGGAGAAAGAAGGAATATTAATCTCACTTGCTTACATTTTCAGAGGGACTGTGTGACAGTACTGCAACGAGTACTGAAACAACAGAAAATGAGAACTGATCAATGGAACAATGCACAAAGCATGCTGTGACTATGCTTTTGAGACCTACTTACTTCTAATAATAGGACTGCTGCACGTACAGTAGCTTATGTCTTGCAGGGGAAAAAATGCTGATTATGTCAATGACTAGAAGCATAAGAATAACATATCCCACTCAAAACAGAACACAAGTATTTCTGGGTGACACACAAGTTTTCTAACATCATTTTCAATACTAGTGATACTGATTCTAAGTAAAGCCTACTCATACAGGACACACTGGTCAGACAAATGTTTACCTCAGGTTACAACCATCCAGGATCACAGGTGAAAGGCTACAGAAAGAGAAAGCCCTGTTCTACACCCGTGATTCTTTATGTGGCACGCTGTAAGGAAGCACATGCTGACCTAACCATTTTAGTCACTGTTTGTGATGGTTTTCTTATGATACACTGGGAGGGGAACAGAAATGCAGAACACTTAAATACAACAATATTGAAAAACTGACCCAAGACTTGAGAAAAGTAGAGATAGAAACTGAAATAAAACTGTCTTAATAATTCTAACTTAATTCTAGAAAAAGCCTGTGCAAAATTAGCCTTTTTCTACACATCTGGTTTTTGTATCTCATGTACCTAAGGTCACATTCACTTGTTTTGTTCACAAAAATAAAGGTCCCTAACTCAAAACATTCAAGACTTTTTTTTATATTCACTCTGCAGTCTCCCTCAAAAGCCTCTGCTGAGCCTGTCTGAGCACATATTGAGTGACCAAAGTTAAGCTGATTTGCCAATACTCCTGTACAGCACAAGAGCAAAAAAAGAAAAAAGAAAAAAAAAGAAAAAGAAAAAAAAAAAAAAAAGACAGAGACATATTCTGCTTCATACAGCAACCTTACAATTATTAATAAAATTCCAATTGCAGATTATTTTGGGAATTATCACGCACTGCATAATTCTTATTACATCTAATAACTGCTGTAAAACCTGCTAGGAACAGGCCAAAAAGACAAATAACTCACATGCAACTGTTTTGCCCAAGGAAACTCTTTTAATATGACCCTGTTTACTCAGTGAAAGCTTTCTCCAGAAACTGAATTTTGAGGATCCGTTGCCTGAGTAAGGCACCTTTCACTACGTTCCTTTGGGCTATTCTGAATATGTAACACCACTTGAACATCTATGTTATCTTTTAGCCAACATTCCTAAAATGTTTCCCAAACAGCTGATATGTCATAAATGCCTTTTCTTTCTTTTGTAGAATAGTACAAAAATTTGCCTACTCCTAAGACCAACACAATTACAGTGCTGCCCTGTAGACTGCAAAGTCTCCTACAAGGAGAAAATGTCATTTTATCATTAGCTGCCTTTTCCTGCTATAACTGCATGAGCACTGCAAGAGCACCAGGCATTATGTTAGTTTAGGCAGAGCAGGAAGTACACAACTTTACATTGATATAAAGATGTAATCTACCCAAAGCTGCACTGAGGAACAAAAACAGTAGCCCCATATACAGCATCCATCCCCTTGTGTTCTCTACCTCCTTTGCTGCTCTTTCACCATGCCCAACCCCAGCTTGGAGAAGTACCAGAACTCCTCTGGAAAGATATTATGGCAGGCATTTTCACAGCAATTTTTTTTGTGCAGTTAAGCAAAAGATGTATGTTAAAACATGCAGCTCCTCCTCTATGTCTGGTTATGTACAACTCTCCAAAAAGCGTTCAAAACAAGCCCATTTACTGTAAAGGAGCAAGAGAGCAAGTGATTAAGGCTCACTGGAATATCATACCTAAGAAAATGTTCTGTGTTCTTTCCAAAACGGCTGGAGGAAATTACAAAAATGTATTAATTTGCAAATTCAGAGATTACCTGCACTGCCATTAAATCAGATCTAAATTTCTTGTAAATTAACCTTAGTGTCCTCGTATTCTTAGTCTTGATATATGCTCTCAGATAGCTTCTTAAAGTCTTTTCCAAAGCAAGTCTTTAAATCAAAAATATGAGTCTTATCTTCATCCATTATAAACAAACAAGCCTATAATTTTTACTGATATTCTCACACTGTACTTTCTGTCTTCATGCACACAGAGCGTAAGAGAAGCTGAAAAAAATTCTCAGAAAAAGTCTCCATAGTGAGGAAAAACAACAGAGAATGGGAGTGGTCCTCTAGTACTTTCATTTATTACTAACAGAGTAGATCAGAGTGGTGAAGCACTAGGCTCCTGCATATATCCCAGAGACACAGCTGCAACTTTCTCAAGGACCAGGCCTTTCAAGCCCAACACATCAATTCTGCCCCAGGAGAATCCACAAATCAAAAGAAGCCTACTCCTGCTGGCCCTGGCCGAGTAACAAAGCTGAGCAGGACCCATTTTCCTCCTCCCCCTCTTCTCTCCCAAGATTTCTAGAGGAGCCAGCAGCTGACACCATAGAGAAGCTGAAGTACCACAAGCAGGTACCACTTTGCTTCTCTGCAGCCATCAGAAAAATCAGATCCCTTCAAACTACATGCAAACATGCAGCCATCTCCTGTTCTGCCCACATTAGTACAGAAACCTAATTTCTAGCAAACATCTACTTCAAAATCCCAACCACAAGATTCCAAAATCTTCCTTCTCACCTCTCTTCCCGGCTCCCGAGCTTGCGAGACGTGTACATATTCCCATAGTCCACGATGGTGAGATGCCGGGAGAACACAGTGACTTTGCTGCCCACATAGAGATCCTCGAGGTGCAAGCTTTCGTACTTGGTGCGCCTCAGAAACATGCGACGGTTCTTCACATCGTACTGCAGCACAAATAAGATTAGAATCTACCTAAGCAAGAGATTTAGTAGTGGGCAAACTCAGTCTTTACTGTCACAAATTTCCATAGTACTGTGGGATTAAATGTACCAAGAAAGCTTACAAGACTAGACCACAATTACAAATTTATTCCATTTAAACAGTCTCAAAGAGAGAGCTATCTTTGAAATTTTTTTTTGGTTTGTAATTTGCTTGTTCTAGTTCAAGCCGTGCTAGAAGGTTCAGGTGCCTGGTGAGTGCCTCTGCCCAGCCTCACTGAGAGCTCCCCCCGCACACCTGTGCTGTCTCACAGCCCAGTGGCTCACACCAGAAGGATCAGGATACACACTGGCAGGTCTCCTCCGCAGGGCATCATTCCAGTGATACTATGCTCTATTTGACTGTGTAAGACTCAGCATTAGGGACGGAGAGATGACTGCAACACTTGGCTGAGATGTTCTCACTGCCTAAAGCTGCAAGCTCAAAAGCCTGTCAGGAAAATTCAGCTTTATGTATCATCACTCCAAGCATGAAGCCAGACATTAATGTGTACTTTTCTGGGTGGGCTGGCAAAGCACAGAAGTCAACCTGCTGAACAGTTTCTTCATTGCAAGTAGATATTACAGATGCCTTCCAATTCCTGGGGAAGTGGAAGCCTATGAAAGGCAGAGCTTTGTCCTTCTCAGGCCAAACTTCCCCTTATGTCTCAACCTCCAGCTGCTGTCCTCCACTGCAATGGAGTATGCACTAGAATAGCATTAAAAGAAAGAAACATCATTCCCACAAATTTGGGAGGGGGAAAAAAATTTAAGAGCAAAATTTCATGTTCTGAAAAGTGTGAATACAGTCCTGGCAGAAGGCTAGAAGAATTTTCATTGTTTTCAGGATAGCCAAAACTTTGCAGATTAAAGAATTGCAAATTATTTTGATACTGCCTTCTGCTGAGGCCCAATTGTAAGGAAGAATCCTTCCCTCCTTAGTCCTTAGTCCCTCATACATGCTCCTACTAAGTGTTCACTATTCAAGTGCAGTAGGGAATTAAATGACAACATGGTAAAAAAACCACACAAAACAAAGAAACCAACTTGAATTTGGTTACTTGTTTCACATGGACTTTGTCGGGAAGCCTATTAGCCTGTCTCAACCAAAATCAAATTCTTCAATATCTTGACCAAAAATCTGAGTATTTCCTTGGTTATTTCACTAATGGTTGCTAGAAAGGCACCCTGAGGTCCTTCTCTCATCTCAAAAAGAAGAGAGGCTCTACCTGTGTTAAAGGATTCCTCTTTAGAGTGGACTTTTAAATATGTTTAAAATACCTTTTTATAAAGTGACTGGTAAGCCACAGCAGAAGAAATATAAAACTGTTTGGACTGTTCCACTCCTGCCCATGTATATGTAGAAGTAAAATACCCAAAACAAAATAGTTCTCCAATAAGAATCTGTCCTTTTTAAAGATTTATTCTCTCTTTTTAGGAAATCTCTTGTAGAAAGAAATGTTATTAGGGCTTTAAGAATTCCCCATGAGAGTTGTTATCTCTGGAAAACTCAGAGAATGGGGCCTCAGTCAAGAGATCCAGTTTGACTGAAAGAACTGCTTGCTGTTCTTGAACAAAAATCTATGCTGTCTTCTTACAGCTGCAAAGCAAGCTGGAAAATTCTCTCATTATTCCCACTGGCATTCTATTTCACCAAGCAAGATATGAAGGACAGAAAGAAAAGTTAAGCTCAGGACTTCATGTAACACAAGCCTTCAACAGCTCTGCTCCACCTGCAGGTGCAGTGTGTGATAAGGGAGAGCTGTTGTCAGGGATGGGGGAGAAGGAGATGAAACATCCTCCTCATATGTAGGGGAAAGCCAGCTCATAACCATCACCTCCCTTCTCTCAGATGTGTTAGAGGTAAGAGCAGGTTGTCATCTCCTCAGGAAAGTACTAAAAGATGCAGAAGAATAAGGCAGTAATAATGAAAAAAAAAAAATCACCAAGTTCTGCAGAAAAAAAAAAAAAAACCAAAACAAACCAATCCAGAAAATAATTCTAAATTCTGTCCAAAACTCACCCCCCAAAAGTGATTTTGAGATATTCTTTCTCTAAGGGTGTTCACATACATTTTTGTTCTTTTAATTCCTGTGCTGTCCACATGCAGTCTACGCCTGCATACACACCACACTGCTTTAACCTAAGAGCACACCAACAACATACAAAAGTCTGCCAAGACATAGGTACTGCATTGAGAAGCTCAAGAACACCTTGGAAACTCTTGGCTTTGAGACGTGTAGGTGAAATGAACAACAATTTTGCCAGCCCACACATGGTTGTGTAGGAAGATTATTACAGTTCCTGACTGATCAGCTAAACTGTGTCTGGGAAATAAAAATAAGAAACCTCACATTTTGAGAGTTGTGCACAGACATCATACAAAGAACTAACTTAGTAATCAGTGCAAAGTGCCTCTTCTCACACAACTGGGTATTACTGCTTCAGTGAGAAGCAGTTTGAATAAGAAAATGCAAATTCCACTAGACCTTTTATTTCTGCAGTTGAGTTTTATAGCAGGAAAGTGAAAATTTGATAATGAAATTACTAAGTGTGACTATCCAAATCTGGGCTGTTCTTAGACTCTTCACTAAGAATTGGAATGGACTAATCCATGCCACTTAATTATCCCTAAAAGGAAGCACAAAGCATTGGTTCGCATGAGGATTATCTTTATAGTACATATTATATTTTTATATACATGCCTGCTACTGCAAAATGCTGTTTTCACTGCTGTCAATAAGCAATGGGATCAGTTGTATGAACCACAAGTCAGAAAGGTCTGTGCAATGAAAAAATTTGGATCTCATGTCTGAAATGTCCTACCTCTCATTAAACCAAATTTACCATTTCCTGTACTTTAGCAACACTCTTCTACACTTTACTCTTCAGAGACTTCTGGAATCCCTGCTGAAGCTTATTTTCCTGTTTGGAATTAGCGTCAGCTTACTCTTCGCAAGCAGTAGGCCAGAGCTGCTGAGTTTCAATTCTGAAACCCAAGTAGAGATGGAATGAAAACAGATTTGTGAAAATAATCTCTCCACACCAAAGCAAGCTTTTAGAAATAAAAAAAACATAAATGTCGAAGGTATTCCATATGCTTCACTTGCTTTGCTTTTCATTTTAGAAACAGAGCAAAATACATATTAAATTAAATTTTCTTACCTGGAAAATTAATAGGCATAGGCAGTGGATTGCCATTTTATGAACCATTTAATTGGATACTACATTTATGACAATAGATTTTTTTCTTATATTCTTACCATTTCAATTGATGCATCTTTTGGATAATACAGAAGTTCATAACGCCGAAAGAGTGAAGCATTTGGGTCATACCATTCAGCAATGAAAGCATATCTCTCATCTTGACTCTGGAAAAAGAAAAGGGGCAAAACTGGCTTTTACAGAAGGCATACATATTCTATATGTAAAAATACAGTAAAAAAAAAAAAAAACTTCCTTCATTTGTTATTAGAAAAGTAAAAAAAAAAAAAAAATCACTTGTAGATGGACTTGCACAATCTGCATATTATCTACTGTGTACCACATCTGGTGACATCTTTTTACTTGTTAGCTGTCATCTTTTAAATAGGATGGAACTTGGATCATGGCAGTTTCCCAGACAATCTCATAACTTACCAGGTTTCCTCAGTCATGAAACACAGACTACTGCTGACGTTGTTGTCAGACTTCTCAACTTAGTCAAAGTATTTGATTTACTTTCTTTCACTAAAAAAATGTGTTTACCTACAATTAAATTACAGACTCGTAACACATTTTTTCATCCTAAAAATAAACACTTTCCTCTTCCTTAACAGTCATATCTAAATTTCTCTTAATAATGAGATAAACATATTCAAATTAAGGACAACATTAGTTTGATTCTTTACTTAACTTCTTGAAATTTGTATAAAGCATAAAAACCTGGCATCATTTACAACTCATTTTCTGCCCCTAAGGGGTGCAGATGAGGAAGATGGATTGCAGTAATTCCAGAAGTGTAACTACATGCGTAGCTTCTCTCCATGCCTCATCCTCAGAGGATAACAGCCCCCAGTAAAGCAAGAACAAAGGCGAGGCATAGCACGTGGATGTGCAATTCTCATTCCTCTTAGTGGCACATGTTTGTTAGTTATTGATGCAGTATCAGCTATTTGATAGCTAAAATAATTAGATGGAGCTCTAAATTTTTAACTCCCACATCTCCTCTAAATCTGCTACTCCTAAGGGCAAGCACAGTCTTATTACAGACTTCCACACTTTATACATATCTGTACTCTTCTTATACACTTTAGACATTGAGGAACCACTGGGAGTTTAACTTAAAGCTATGTGGGCCTCTTCAGTACTTCAGATTTAAGAAAAGGGCAGCATTTCAGTTGTTACAAAGACCACTTAATAAGCAAAAAGACAGAGTTCCTGAAAGCTTCCATGACTATTCTAATACACCAGCAGAAAAAGAATGACAATTTTCCAGAATCTTCAGCTTACCACTGACTTAGGACTAAACACTTTTGCAGGTTGAAGTCCTAACAGAAGCAGCAGCAGAAAATAATGAGATAATGAAAAACAAATTCAGAATTTTACAATGTGATGAATACTAGTACGTCTTCAGTCAAGAGCACCATGGCAAATGCCCCTCCCTCCTGTCAGCTCTTATGGTACTCCCTGTACTGCAAACAAAGTTATGACTGTACTGCAGAAACACTTATGCCATGGGGGCAGCATAGTGCCCCGTGAAGGATGCAGTTTCCATTTCTCTCTGTAGAAGTCTATGCAGCACTGGAAACTTTATTAGCATCAGCTACTCCAACTTCTGTATTATCTGTACAGCACACACTACAGAGTTAACCTCATCTTTTACATGCAGCATCCACCACGAAAACTCCCTAGGGACTTAGCCTGGTTTCCTACCATTGCTTGAGCTGGATGTGTTTGAGTCATTACTGCCACTGCCATCATTCTGGAGCTATGCAAATCAGAACAAACTCTGTCTTATGGAAAAACTCACTCCTGATTTTTCTGTATAGGCAATAAGCAGTAATAAGGGTCGGCAGACTGATTTCAACTTTGATCTCACACTCATACTACTGGACAACAAGATATTTGATCAATTGATTTGACTGACCACCATCTTGTCAAGAATGGATTTTACAGAGAAGCAGTTCTCCACCAAAGGGGTTATCTAAAATGAAGAACAGTCCAGTTTCACAGAACCATAGAATGGTCTTCTCGTAGTTGAGACGGAGATAATACAAAGCAATACACTCTATTTTCAGAAGGCTTCAAACCTGTTTTTATTACAGTATGCTTGCTTTTTATACATTCTAACAAAACTCCTAAGTTTACACTTTACTTATTGGTCATGAAAGACAAGGTGCTTATTGGAATAGGCAGTTGCAGGTTTCTCTTATTTATCTTTTTTTCTTTCTTGGTTTCTATGTCAATGACCTTGGTAGAAAATTCTATCAGGGGTAAAAAACATGGATCCTCTTATCAAACTTCTCTCTGGTTCACAGAAGTTCCTGTAAAACCTCTCCCATATGGTCTGGCTTGGAAAGGACCTTAAAAATCTCCCAGTTTCAACTCTCCTGCCACAGCAGGGGCACCTTTCACTAGACCAGACTGTTCAAAGCCCCATCCAACCTTGAACACTTCCAGAGATGGGGCACTCCTCAAGAACTACCTCCAGAAAATGACTACTGATGGATGAAATAAAATAGATGCACCATCTTTAATCAATGCCTCTTCATAACATAAAGACATATAATTGCATTACTACATGCTACTTTTTCATGTTATAGCATTGCTTTCAACTATATTTTCCAGGTAGCAGTTGCCACAGAAGCTACCAATTTCCATTTAAGTAAAACTTCCAAAATTTGTAAATTACTCATCTCAGGGAAGGTAATGTATTTATATAAACAACCAAAGAAAGCACCAGTAGATTTTTTACTTAGTCACCAGTATCAATCATCAGCACCTTCATGTTTACAGTGAGAAACTGCACTGTGTGCCTTGTGTGGTGAGGAATTGCCTCTTTTTTTTTTTTCTTTTAACACAACCTTGGCTTTAAGAATCTGAACTTCATTAAGAATTTGAAATTCATTTTATAAGGGTTTATTCCGTGTCTAAGCTATTTGATATTTGTCATTCAGCAAGCTCTGCTAGCCACTGAATAGCAGAAATCATCATTCTGTATTATCGTCTTTTAGTATTGTAAGCAAAAGCAAGGTAATAAATGCTACTTAGACTTGAGAAAAACTGCAGAGCTAATCCTCAAACACCCAGAAAATGCTATCAGTAAGCAGGACAGCTTGAATCTGTTACTGTTATGTATCCAGAAAATATGGAGACCTGGTATTTTTCTAAAATCACCAAAACAAAGCCTCTAAAGCTTTTCCTGAGCCATAACTAGAATTTTCTCCGATGTGTATACATAGAATTATTAAAATAAATATTTATATATGTAGAGAACAGTATCAGAAAAAAGTTCAAAGCTTATGGAAAATGCTCTAAAAATAACTGGAAATATTATACTTGTGAACATGTCAATTGTTTCAGAGGCAGACACTGCAAAGTGAAGAAATTCAACACTGAAAGCAAACTGAAGACCCTACCAAATAAGCACCTAAAACACAGCAGGACTCTGATGTAACTATTGCAGATTCATGCAAATAGTCTTAAAACAGATAAAAGACAATACAGAATACAGTCATGATATGGTGAACTTATTCTGGGAAGCCCTTGACAGGCATTGCTGTGAAACTGTCACTCCAAGTCATTAAAAATGCCAACCAATTTCAAAATGTAAGTTCTTAAAAGTGAGTACACATTAAATTCACAATACATTTTTAAATGAGAACAGAAAATTTTATTTACTTATTTAATGGAGTAGGATTTTGAAGGCAAAAACCAAACACCAAAAACTGTCCACTTCCCATCACATACTGTAAGGATTGCAATAAATGTTTATGCCTTCACAGACCTGAAATTCTAATTTCTGAACTAGCTTCAATTAGTTTCAATTAGTTTACCACTCAGTCAACAGAGCTGGTATGGCAAACAACCTTCCTATATACCCTTTCACTAGTGTGTCCTGACTGCAAAGTGGGAAGGAGCCTCAAGGATTTGGAAGTCCCGAGGGAGGCAAGCTAAGTTTCATTGTTAGCTTCTGTCCATTCTCCTAACAAAGGAAACTCAGAGAAAATAACTCTCCAAAGAAGAGTGATTAGAGAACAGTGATGACCTGTCGGGGGGTAACATGTTCAATGCACCACACTGCTCCAGAACGAGAGGGAGTCCTGAAAGGGGAATATTTTGCAGCTCTTGACCACAGAGCACCTCGTTCCCCCAGGAAACGGGACAGGCATGTTAGTCACTACTGAAATCACATTCCTTTGAACAGCTCAAGTCATAACAAATCAAGTGAATATATAAGTACATTATAACTCAGAAAATTCTTGCTTCAAAGAATTAATTTCCATTTATTTCTGTACCATTCCCTCATCAAAATCACACATAGCCTCTGCTCTCATGACTATGCAATTAAACAAGCAATACCTAATAGGTGAGAAATATTTCTTCACAAATGTTCACATTAGTGGAAAAATTACTATCACTAAAAAGCCCAGCAGTGATTATGCACTTTACATTTACATACTGATACTTCCAGAACAACTGTCTTAAGCTCAGGATTTACATCTCCTTTCCACGGTAAACTCTAGAACTGAGATCAGAAATGTCAATTCACCTACTGTGATGATGGAAAGAAAAGGTTTCTTTCCTCTTCCTTCTGTAAGTTGCCCAGAAAAACATTTAAATGCATGTGGGTTTTGCTACCTTTTGCTTTTTTATTTATATTGGTATGTGTGAATATGCAGTAGGATGGCTCTATGGACATGAGAAACACTTATTGAATACAGCTGAAATACAAATCCCAAATTTTTTACTTACTTCTGAAAGTGATGGGGAAAGCAGTCACTCTTAGCCAGCATGGACTAAGAAGCTAAATCCAAGCATCCATCGAAGAACTGTGCCCCCAGAAAACTCTATGCAGAGGGAAACTGTGTGTTTGGAACCAAACTGCCAAGCACAGTCAAAACCAAAAAGCAGAATTCTTAACAAGCTGGACAGGACATGATATTTTGTCCTGTTAACCTTTTAGACTTCCAAAAGGCTTCTGCCCACAGGAAAACAAAATGAGATCTACCAAAGGTTTTCATGAGAAGCATCAGTGGTAGAAGAGTAGCTCAAGGACTAAGGAACTCCCACAGAAAGGTGGAGAAACTTTACCCCTCTGGTTTGACCTATGAAGAATATAGACCTGGATTTGGTTTTCCAAATGCTTCACCTGACAGCCAAACTACTG